TTAAAAGGGAGCAAAACAATCCATCATTGAGCCCGGGAGTCACTCGCTCATAGAAAAGTAAAATCGGCATGTGACGGTACACTCAGCCCCAGTGTCTCGCAGATTAAAGTGATACATGGAAGTTCACGTGTTACCAGGAAGATTAAGCCAGTTATCTTGTTCTGCAGCCAATAAAGGGCTGCCTTGTCTGCGGTGGGGGGTGTGCTGCCTTTAACCAAGTGACAGAAACTATGCAAACGTGGCTTCATGCTACCACAAAAAAAGGACTCCGGATTGCCACAGAGAAACAAAGGTGGTCAGAGAGACTTTGGGAATGAATCGGTGGCAGAAATGTTGTGTTAAAGTCTTTTCCTTCTCTGCAGAGGTGATTAGGAGCAAAAGAAACCCTCCCAAACAATCCCTGCAGAACAAAGTGTCCGCATGCACTGCCCACAGGCAGCCCCGTAACCCCGAGAAGCAGCGCCTTTTTCCAGTCTGCTGCTTGCTTGACCAAAAAAAATGTATTTAGATACGCTTTTGGATGAATGCATACATGGGGAATTTTAATATTTGGAATACTTCCCAACATAGTAGTATTAGCATTTAGCAGCTGGTTTCTTTTGTTGTTTGATGTAAGACACTTTCCCATCCCAGCTAAATTTACGGCTACTGACAGATTTCTGAATGAGCAGCTTGAAAAAGTTGGCGTTGAGCGTCAGCTTGCCCTGTTCCCAGCAGCACTAGCACTGCAGTGCTTGGCCTGGTTGCTCTGTTAGTCCCCAGCACAGGTCAGTACTCTTCACCCTTTGGGTGAGAGCTTAGAGCTTCCAAACAGCAACATCTCTGTTTCACTATTTCCTCTGCTTTCCAAAGAAAGCCATTTGGACCAGCCAGCCAACATTCTTGTTTTTTGAGACATTCAGACTTTTTTATTAAGTAAGTTGCTTTATAGGGTGGATTTGTTATCACTAAGGATCATTAAGGACAAGTTCTGTGGTCTCTGCAGAATGAGAGAAGCTCATTGGAGAGGAACAGTGAAATATCCTTGCCAGCAGCAGGACGTAAGGCCTGAAGGGCCGTCCATGCCTCCAGTGAAAGGAGCAGGCCAAACCCAAATATCCCACTGCTGATAGTGCAATGGCCGTGTGCTAATGCACTCCTTGTGCTTTGGGAAGATAATGGTTCAGGAAGCTCTTCCACCTGCACCTCTGCAGGTCCCTCTGCTGCCACCACTGCCTGCACCACACGTCTGGGAACACCGACTTCCCCCTGCCCTATTCTCGCTTTTCCTTCTTTCCAACTAGAATTTCATCCCAGTACGTAACAACAACAAAATCAAACTTCCAAGACAGCAAGTGCTAACGACCCAGCTGCTGCTGGATGCTGCTGAGCATCCCCCCTCCTAGCAGGATGGGGCACCTGGAGCTGTGCACCCAGCACCCCGCTTCCTATTTTGCTTCCCAGGATGCCACCACCAGCACCTACAGGTGCATGGGGGCCTTCCGAGGCCTAAGCTGCTGTGCCGGGCAGGGGAAGCATGAGCTGCCGCCAGCGCAGCTCAGGCCATCACATTAATAGGGGTTGATTTGCAAACGGCGTCGCTCCCCCTGGCCCCCCTCTGCCCGACTCCCGCTTCTCCGCTCAATGGCACAGATGCTGCTTTGTGCTGCCCAGGACCAAGCGGCTATTAGCAGCAAATCCAGCGAGGGAAATTAATGAAGGCGACTACTAATAAAAGGCAGCTCAGGACAGCCGTACCAACTTGCTCCAAGCAGTAATTAACTTTTTTAAAACTCGCGAAGGTAAATATGCCATCGGCTTTGGTCCGGTCGCTCTCCCTTTCAATAAAAGCAGGGGGAGGGAGGATGCTGGGGAGGCCACCGACACCGTCCTGCTGCCGGTCCCGCTGCTCAGAACTGAGAGCCCGTTTTCCTCAGAGCAGCTTTTCAGGCACCGCAGCAGCGTGCTGAGCTCGGCACAAGTGGTGAGCGAGAGCACTGCTGGGAGCTGCCGGCTGCCAGAGCAGCCTGGGACCAGAGCGGCTTTCCCCATGCACACACACAAACACCCTTTCATGGATAAACCTGTCCTACACATATTTTGCAGTGTGCTACCCTTAAAAGTGCCATTTCATTTCTCTAAGTTACATACGTATCTTCACACGGAAATAAAAGATGTTCCAATTTAATAGCCCCAATAATTGTCCCTTTCAGTTTGTCATAGAATCATAGGCTCATAGAATGGCATGGGTGGGAGGGGACCTCAGATCCCATTAAGTTCCAATCCCCTGCCATGGGCTGGTTGCCCACCACCAGCTCAGGCTGTCCATGTGTCCTGAGCGCCTTCAGGGATGGGGAACCCACAGCTTCTTTGGGCAGCTGTGCCAGCACCTCACCGCCTTCCGAGTACAGAATTTCTTCCTAACATTTAGCCTAAATCTCCCCTCTTTTAGTTTAAACTCATTCCCCCTTGTCATATCATGATCATGTGAAGGTCAGTCCTTCTTCTATTTGTAAGCTCTCTTCAAGTGCTGGAAACCCTTTAAGTACTGGAAAGCCTTCTCTTCTCCAAGCTGAACAAGTCCAACTCCCTCAGCCTTTCTTCACAGGAAAGGTGCTCCAGTTCTCTGATCATCTTTGTGGCCCTCCTCCAATTAAAAATTGCTACGCAAGAGCTAACGTATCCAGTGCTAAAAACCAGCCAGTGTATGCTTAATTACTCAGTGTACTGTACATTTAATTAACAAAGCCATCAGAGCACACCATGGGATGCCCCTCAGTAGGTGAACCCTCACCTGCCGCTCCCCAACCCAACAGCACTGCTTCTCTGCCATCATAAAACCAAAGTATCTCTGTGGCAATGAAATCATCACAAGATTAGTCCCAATAAAAGGAAACATACAGCCTGGGTGTGCATCCCACAGGTGTGGGAGGGAGGAGAAGGGCCACAAGGCCAGGCTGCAGGGCACAGGTGGTGTGCTGTGAGTCCATGTAAGATGACAGCAGAACCATAGCACGAGCCTGGGCGTGGGGACAGACCTCCATACACCTTCTGGGAGACTCCCAGCCATGGGGTTCATACCGTGGACAGGGAGCAGCCCCCTGGCAGCAGGATAAGCCAGGCCCCCGCTCCCAGCCCACATCAATGGGGACAAACCATTACAGGGGGTCCTTGCCAGCACCCCCAGGCCGCCCCGCTGGAAGGCCGCCTCCTGTCCCATCCCTTCTGGCCCACAGCAGGTCTGGGGACACAGCTCTGTGCCCTGGCCACATCAAAGCGCTGATTATGCAAATGTGCCCACTTTTCTTTTTTTTTTTTCTTTTTTTTTTTTTTCCTCCAGGAATTATTTATCACACAATAACTCCCCTGCCAGGGGGGGAAACAATAGCAGGGGCTGATAGCCGCGCTCGCCCGAGGCTGCGGGGCAGGGGGTGCGTTTTATTGGGCTAACCTAATTTCACTAATTCTCTTTTCACACGTTGGGCCTTTTTTTTCCCTTTTTCCCCCTTCGGGGATGTTGCTCTCAAGGCTGGGTTTCACGCTCCCAGGGCCCATGTTATTGAATTAACGCGTTTGGGAGCCTTCACTGGTTCCTAATGATTTCCAGGTGTTTGTGCCCAGAAGCCACCCGGCCACTGCTGGGTGCGTACGATGGTGCTGAAAGGCCTGTGAGCACACCAGACGTACCCAGGTCTCATCTGGGATCCAGGAATCGATGTGGAGGGGGGAGGGTGCCCAGCACTGAGAGGAGCTGATGGAGTGGGTAGAGATGGGAGAAATGAGGCAGGGAGATGGGCTGTGTGCAGCAGCCTTGGTAGGGTGCCAAAGTGCTACTCCATTACCCAAAATTCAGGTTGGACGTTAGGAAAAATTTCTTCTCTGAGGTGCTGGAATGGGCTGCCCAGGGAGGTGGTGGAGTCACCATGCCAGTAGGTGTTCAAGAGCCATGCGGATGTGGCACTGAGGGACGTGGGCACAGAGGGGATGGAGTGATGGATGAGATGATCTGAGAGGTCATTTCCAACCTTAATGACTCTGAAATGCCTTACATGGGACACCGCATTCCCCCTGCAGCCAGCTCTAGCAGGGTCCCTGCACTGGGCGACGAGGTAATATGTCCCACACCCATCTCCCCCAGAATCTGCTCACCCAAAGAGCAACCACCTCATTCTCCTGGGCCTACATAGTTCATCTTTCTGCTTTATTTCTAAAGAAGCAAAACAGCATCTCAGCAACAGAAAGGCACATCAACCTCCTAGAAGACACTCCAGCTCTGGTGTTTCCAAGCACCACAAGAGCACAACTGAACCACCCACACCGTATTGCCTGTGTGGCATTGGGGCTCACCCCCACCACAGCCCCCAGGCCAAGCTGCAGTGGGGCCGAGGACATTTGTCACCCCAACAGATGGCGCATAAGCCGTGAAAAAGAGCAACCCAAGTGATGAAAATTATGAAAATTAGATATTTTATTTATATTTTATGAGGAGAACAATCCCTTTGCTCTTCAGCCGTAAATACATACTAGAATAGACTCTGTAAATTATACAAAAAAATACATCTTTTCCATGAAATCTTTCTTTATAATAAATAAATGTGAACACGTGTGTGGCAGATCGCTGTAATGTCCCGTGTCTGTTTGGGTTTTCAGTCCGTTGATTTATTTTTAATCTCCTGAAAGAAGGGGGGAGTTCCTCGTCCCCTAAAGGTCGAAATAAATAATGCATGAGGTGCTCCTCCCTCCCACCCACCCCTTCCCTTCCCTCTACAGTTTTTTCCTTTTGATAGAGAGTTCAGCCTAAATTTCCACGCTTGCATTCAGCCCTGACAAAGCCTACAAATTATACAATGACTTCTAACCTGGACCCCTAACAACACAACTTATTTTTTTTCTTTTTTTTTTTTTTTTTCCTTTTTTTTTTTCCGCCTCCCCCCTCGTAAATCACGGAGACAGCTGCGGAGCGGCGAGGGGCAGAGCCGGGCAAAGTGCACGTCGGAGGAGCGAGGGCCGCCCGGGCCGCATTAGAGGCAGCGGTGGGGCGGCGGCGGAGGGGCGAAGCGGCCCCGCGGGGGCGGCCAGTGCTCGGCGTCCGAGGCGGAGCCGGCGGGGCTGCCGGGCGATAAAGTGCAGGCGTAGGGCGAGGCGGAGGGCGCGGGGCTGGCGCCGCCGCTCCACGACGAGGCGGGCGACGGGCTGCCCTCGGCGGCCGCCCCGGGCGCGTTCTCGGCGGCTCCCCCCAGGCGGGCGGCCCCGGCCAGGCGCAGCGTCTCGGTGAGCGCCCAGATGTAGTTGTGGGCGAAGCGCAGCGTCTCGATCTTGGTGAGCTTGGCGTCCTCGGGGAAGGTGGGCAGCACGTCGCGCAGCGCGTCCAGCGCCGCGTTCAGGTTGTGCATGCGGTTGCGCTCGCGGTTGTTGGCCTTCAGCCGCCGGCTCCGCTTGATGCGCTGCGCCGTCTCCGCCGTGCGCGTTGCCCGCGGAGGCCCCCGCTGCCTCCCCGCTCGCCGCGCGCCCTCCTGCAGCCGCCGCGGCCGCCCGTCCTCCTCGTCCTCCTCCTCCTCGCCGGCGCTGGACGGCAGCGAGGCCGAGGGGGCGGGCGAGGCGAGGCGCAGCAGCAGCAGCTCGTCGTCCGTCGCGGGCGCCGGGCTCTCCGCCTTCACCGGCATCCTGCGGGGGCGGGGGAGAGGGGGGCGCGGCCGCGGGTCGACGGCCGTCGGGCGGTCGGGGGGCGCTGGCACGCGCCCCGGCGGCGTCGGAGCGGCCCGGGGCCCGGCGGCTGCGTGTCTGGCACACGACCCCGCTAACGCCCCTTATATACCCCGCGGGGAACAATCAAACCTGCCCCGCCGGCGGCCCCCCCGCTCCCCGGCCCCTCCGCCGCGCCATTGGTGCCTCGCGCTCGGCTGGAGCGTGCCGCTAATTTATTAATGAATGGCGGGGGGGGGGAGGGCGCGAGGCGCCGGCGGCCAATCGGGGCGCCCCGCGAGCCACGCGCGCCGGAGCCGGCTCCCTTTCAGCGCTGCATTCAGCGGCCGCTGGCGGGGGGCTGCCCCGCTGGGGGGCCCCGCGCGTCCCCACGGGGGTAGCGGGGCCGGGGCAGGGCGGGGCGGGCGGCGCTCGGGGGACGCCGTGCCCCTAAAGCCGTGAGGCGGCTCCGCCGTTTGGGCCCTCGGCTGCCCGCTCCTACCGGCTCGACGCCGCAGTTGTCAGTGCGGCGAGGAACATCAAGCCAGCCTCGTGCCCGGCTTCCTGACCGGGGCCGGCGGGATGCAGTGGCTTCGGGTAAAAATAAGAGGTTGTAAAATAGAGCTTGCGTTGCAACTGGTGGGAAGAGCCCCGAAGTGGAGGCTTGGATCAGCGTGACAGAGTGGAGATGTACGTGGGTAACCCATGGTGCACAATACATGCACACACAAGTGGTAGAATCACAGGATCGTTTGCATGGGTTGGAAGGGACCTTCCAACTAGCCAGCCCAGCCCCACTCCCTGCTATGGGCAGGTTGCCCCCACCAGCTCGGGCTGCCCAGGCCCCGTCCAGCCTGGCCTTGGGCATCTCAAGGGATGGGGCATCCACGATCTTCTGTGGGCAGCCTGTGCTAGGGCCTCACCACCCTTGGAGTAAAGAGTTTCCTCCTAACAGCTGACCTAAATCTCCCCTCTTTTAGTTTAAAGCCATTCCCTCCTATTGCACTTACCTGTCCCCAGCCTCGTTTTTGCTGCTTTGCTGCTGCACAGTTGTATGCCCTGCTACCCCATGCCACATTTAGCCCATCTATTGCAAAATGTCTGCAACTCTGCCAAGTGACTTGGACACATTTCCCCCTTCTGAGAAACGGGAGATCCCTATGTGTAAGGAGCGCAGCATGGAGCCGCAGCAGCAGCCCGCGCTCACGCAGCAGGACGGAGGCTCGGCGCTGTGTGGGGCAAGGGCCGGGCAGGGCCGGGGTGAGGGCCTGAACTGTCCCCTGGGGTCAAACTGTTCAACTTCAGCCCCTTTGCCAGACTCGATCCTACTTTACGGGAACAAAGGGGTGAAGTAGGCGACGATCAAGAAATGGGAGCACAATGATTTAAGCTTATCACACGGCCCAGAAATAAAGGATGCTGAGCTGGTGTGCGGGAGAGGGGGAGACCTTCAGAAGGGCTTTGTTTGCAGTAAGAAGATTGAACTCGGAGGCGACCCGAGAGCCCTAAAAGTTTAGGGTCTGTGTTGCTGAGAGACCTTTGGACGCGGCCCATCCATGCTCCGACCTCACAAGTTGCGAGTGAGTGCCTGTGCCGGCCCCGTGGCCAGCAGGGTGGGGGCAGCAGGCTCTGGGCTCCCAGAGCTCCAGAGGGTCGGTGGGACGGAGCCCCCGAGCAGCTAATGGCAGGGCGCGCAGCCCTTAACCTGGGGGTCAAAACACAGCCCCTTCCCAGAGGGTGGATGAGGGGTGCTCGGCAGGGGGGCAGCCCCTGGCACGCCGCAGCCAGAAGCACTGCTGGGAGGGAAGGGCAGGCCCCCGTATTTGGAGTTCCTTTGGGATCAGCCCCCCTGGGCAGTGCTGCCCAGGCATCCAGGCCCAGCCCCCCTTGCGGACGAGCCCCCCGTTCGGGCTGATTGTTCCCGGTGGATTTGCATGGCAGGTGCAGGCTCCGGAGTGATTTTGCGATGCGGAGCCCCGCTGCCCCCCCACCCCCTCCCCAGGATTTGCCTCCCCCACCTCCCCCTTGTGCAAAAGGGCCGCCGGTGCCTTCCTTTCCCATGAAGAAGAAGAAGCTTGAGGATCGCGTGAACACGCTTCAGTTTTCTTATTCTTTTCTATAGATGTGGGGAAAAGAACAGCCAATTGTGTGAAAAACCCAGTGCCTGCAAAAAGGGACATTGGCCATCCAGGCGAAGGTGCGCGAGGGAGAGCACTAATCGCTGAACCAGGAGACAAATACGATTACCAGCTCCGAGCCTTGAGTCAGAAAGTCTCATAGACTTTAAGATGTTAATCCCCGACATAATCCTTCCTTTGGCGTGTAGGAATAGTGCAGCCACAAGAGTTGTTTTGTTATTTATATTGGCGTTTAATAAAACTCAGCCAGCGGTGAATGGGCTGCCCACTCTCCAATGGTAATTAATTCCCTATTTCAGTGACCCAATTGTGCTGGGATAGAGCAGTGGGACAGTCCCACTGCCCCAACCCGCCTTTGTGCAGCTACACAGCTCTCGTGCTTCAACAGCTATGGAAACTCATTCTTTTGATGTCATTCAATGAGTTTTCCTTGGGCATCTTCTAAACTTCAAGGACCCTTTTCTTTCTCCAACGCATGAAAAGCAGGACTAGCTTGACCACCTCTGTAGAATTTAATGATTTGGTGAAAGGGCCTTTTTGGGGGTTTGTGTAAGGAAAAAGAGAAAGAAAATTTGGCAGGCTGCTATCAAACGGGGCTATCCAACCCGCGGCGCACCGCAGCCATTCAGCTCCCGGCACACACAGGCAGAGGAGCCGTGCTTCCCTACACACAGCACTACTGTACCTCTCACCCCTGGCATGCCTGCAGGTTTGTCATGAGAGAGCAGCCTGCACCCTCGGCCCCGAAAACGCCTCGCCTTCAGGAAGGAAGGCACTTTGGTCCTCAAAAGGGAAGAACTGTGAGAGCCCTACAAGGCATCGTGGTGCTGCAGAGCCCGGGGCTGTGTCCGGGCAGCGCGTTGGCTGTGGGGCGGACACAGGAGTGTGTGAAATGGGCACGTGAAGGACATGGCCTGGCCCTGCCCAGCGCGGGCAGCCCCTTCTATGTCTTTATACATGCTCCCAAAAAAACCCCTCCGCAAGTCACAAACAATTCAGAATTCACTAAGAAAACACAGAGTGAACCATATGGCCGGGGTGGCTCGAGTTGGCTGCATTTTCCCCCAGACAAAGAAGGGATTGAGAGTTGAAGGAAAGGAGAAAAAAACCAACTTTCCGGCTGATGAAGCTGTTGTCTGGAGGCAATGATCCCAAATCTCAAGGCTTTATTCCAGGCCCCGACTGAGACGTGATATGTCATATGATTAGCATCTTTCATATTTACAAGAGCAGTGTGGGCTGCCGGGCTTTAGAGAAAGGCGAGAGAAAGAGGGGGCATATGCTGAAATGGATTTAGCATTTGAAAGAGAGAAAAGAGATCGGATAAATACACTTAAACGAGGATTTAGTTTTACTCCCGTTGCGTCCTAATGGATTGTTGATTGAGATTTTAGGGAGCGAGAGCCCAAGTGTCAGCAGCGCTACACGGCGCAACGCGGGCCGCTCCCGACGGCGGGCGGCGCCACCTGGCGGCCTGGCGGGGCTGCGCCGAGCCGGGTGGGGCTGTTGAATTGCGAGGATTGAATAAACCGAGGGCATGCCATTTTCTTTGAGAAAAACGATGTTGCGTTGGGCCTTTTTACCGTTAGAGCCATGCGCTTGGCTTTGAATGATTTGTAAATACGCAAAGTGACACTTGTTTTTACAACAGGTTTGATACGCATGCAGCCTAAAGAACAGCAAAGCACTAATAATGCAATTAGGTACTTCATAGGCTTAGTTATTAAATAATTCATACTAATATTAATAATAGAATGAAAGGGATTTCAGATGCCTTGCAGTTCCTATATTCTTTAGTTTTAGTCATTCAAACAAGGGGCTGCCAAAACAGAAGAATTAAACAGATGCAAATAAGATTTCCCCACGTTAAACATTAAATATTACATTCACATTTTTATAGACATTAGGTCATTTCTATAGACACACCATTCATATATTGCCAAAATAAAATGTACACATTTTATTTTTCCTTTTTCTTACTCTGTTCCTCTTCCTTCTTTTCCTCCAAGTAGTACTTCAGAATGTCGTTCAGCTGCTGCTCACACTGGCTTACATGTTGCAGTCCGTTTTCTTGCCCTGAAAGCAATATTCAATAGGATAATTATGTATCACTTCACAGCATCCATCACGTAGTTGCTGTGTGGCAATGAGAAATATCTATTTCCCAAAATGTATCAAATGGCTATCATATTTCTACATCATTGTTCTTCACCTACTTGGTTGCCAACTAAGTAGACAGAATAAAATTAGTATTTTGGCACTTCTCTTGTAGTGAATTCTTATCTGGTGTTTCAGAGACTAAAAACTCCTTCTGTAGTATCTGCTAAGATGGGGCCTCCCTGTGCAAAGAGCAGATGTGTGTCTGCAAAGACACCCCAGTGGGTGCTGGGGAGTTGGATTCAAACAGCTTATTGAAGACATTTTAGAAACTGGGACTTTCTCTCACTTCTCTAATTCAATGAGAGTTGTTGATAAGGCAAAAGTTAGGATGAAATGTACTCATGCTTTGAGATATGAAATGATTTCCCAGTTGTCTTCCCCTTGTTTAGCATGTACTACTCAGAAATAGAGCTACATTGCTTTACAATGTGTTCCTGCCTGGGTCTGCTGTGTAAAAACCAAATTGGTAAAGCACTAGAAATGCAGTAGCCATCTCCAGATCTCCTTGCCAGAGTACTTTGTCCATCTATCTGATGCCATCAAGAGAAGAAAAAAGAAGTCCCATCACTGGATAACAAAAATACTTAGCATATAAAAGCAGTTTGCTGATAGAACTGCAAACAAGCAACTTCTGTGCTTGTGATCTACTTGCAATATACAATGGGAATATATATATATGTATATATATATATAATGGGAGTATATATAGGAAATATACTGTATTTTGTGTAGTGTGCTGTATGGGAACTGTTGAGTCAGGGCCTGAACCACTGATTGATCACCTGATGAAAGGACTGAGTCAGCCCTGGGAGCACAGGTGAAGGCAATTCAGCTGTGTGATCAGAAAGTGGTGGAGCCTGGCTGCACCTCTCTTAGACCCCATTTAAGGGCTGACTGGCACTGGGGAAGGATCTCTTTCTGGAGATCCCTCCTTTGTGGAGTCTGTCTTGCAAACCTAGATCTTTGGCTACAGGTAAGCATTCCTTCCCTGTTTGTTTCTTTTCCTGTTTTCACCATGATAATCTTTCCAGCTGTAACACCAACTGTAACATATGCATACTATACATTATGAAGGATGTATTCTGTATAGTATACAGCATATTGTCTAATTTTAAAAAATGAGCTATAGGTTTTTGAAAATGAAGGAAAAGAATGTAATACCTTTGCAGTGATTAATTACTCTTTCATAGAGTCTGTTCTTACTTAAGCAGGCCAGATTCCCAACAATCAGGAGATGCCTCTTTGCCCTTGTCAATGCAACATTCATTCTCTTTTCTGAGTCTGTGAATCCAGTTTGTCTTGTTCTTACACATGACAGAACAACGATCTCCTTCTCTGCTCCTTGGAATGCATCTACAGTGGACACCTGGACAGCCTTCACTGGAAAAGCCTCGGAATGTACACTCCTAAGCAAGTTCTGTATCTGTAGACAAATAAATATGGATGTTGATGAATTATGCTGCTCCGTCAGTTACTTGTCTTGAGCAAAAGCTACAAGTCTGAGCCTACACAAGATGCAAACTAAGAAACTACGAAGTGCAATGACAATATATCTTCAGCTACCTACAGTAAATACTATGGAATGAGACTGCATTTGATAAAATGCTGGTCTGCTCAGTGTGACAAACTGTGCTTGTGTTTAGTAATCACAGCAGCCCGTATCATGCCCCGAGTGACTGAGTGAGGTACAACTGCAGCCTTGCTATGCAGGTCTTTCTATTATCTGTCCTTGTCATGCATATCAATCTGTAATGGCACCCACATCAAATATTGAAATTATTATTATTAAAATTATTTAATTTTCCAAATTTTCTAAGTGGGCAGGTGTATGGGAGCTATTGAGTCATGGCCTGAACCACTGATTGATCACCTGGGGAAAGAAACTGTCAGCCATGGGAGCGCAGGTGAAGGCAATTCATGTGTATGACTGGAAGGAGTGGAGCCTGGCTGCACCTCTCTTAGACCTCATAGAAGGGCTGATTGCCACTGGAGAAGGATCTCTGGCTGGAGATCCCTCTCTGGGATCTCTCTGGAGCTTTCCCCTGTGAACCTAGACTTTTGGAGATGGGTGAGCAGTCCTTTTTTCCTTTCCTTATAACACCTTTCTATTGCGTTAGTCCTTTTGACATTGTATCTTTTGTATTACCATTTTATCATGTTGTTCTCATTATTACAGCAGGAAAAAAGGAATGTTTTGGGTTTTTTTTTTTGTTTTTAATAAAAAAACCTGAAGGTTGAGTAGAGGAATAAAAGATATCATTTATTTTTTTTTAAACAAGAAAGATAAACTAAACTCTAGTTTACTTTTTAGCACTTTTCTTACTTCTTGTTCATTATTCTTGGTTGAAATGAAGCCTTTGTTTAGAACAAACTTACAGATGTTTTTATCAATGGTGTATTGTACAAACCTTGTACATCTGTGATTTGTAAAAAGTAATCACACCCACTGCAGATCCGTGTATTCCACTTGCAATCAGAGACTGGATAAGCTTGACTATAAAATGAACTTCTGCTGTGTTATAAAAGCTGTTGTCGCTTTCAATCTGGAAATAGGGAAGATTTCTAATTCAGCTCTCATGAGTAGCAGTTAAAATACACTTAATTGCACAGTAAGAATGCAAGCAGAATGGAGGAAACCCTACAATATGATCTTTTTAAATAAAAAAATGTTGGGAAAACTTACTTGCTCCAGCCCGCTAACACTATAAAAACATAGTGTTGGAAGCCAATCCAGTAAAGGACTTCTTTCCTTCTCAGAAATGCCATCTATCAGGTTTCCTTCATAGAAGAGCTCATTGGCTATGGCACTAATAGCAGGGTGGCATCGATATTGTGTCCGTAGCAGTATTGTTTTATGTCCCTAAAGGATTATGATGTAAAGAGATGATGTATAATGAAGAAGAAAAATAATTTCTTCCTATTTTGAAATGCCAACTTGGTCAAACAAAAAATAGAAACAATTCCTGCAAGAAGCAGACTTAATCTTCACACTAATAACAAAAGTTAGAAGAAATGCTGTAGCCTCTAATTCCTCTACATGGATCGAAACCTGAACGTAAAGATCAGGAGAAATAATCTGTCACTGTTTCTTGTTTTTGTTTTACATTTATTATGCAATGTCTGTGCATTGTGCAAATAACACTTACAGAGAAATGCACCAAAATGGAATCTACTTGATTCAGAAGCAGGCTGAAATGCTGATTCTCTGACACCTAAATCAGAAGTCTTAGTGACTTCAGTGGACCTGGAATTTTATCTTCTATCTTTAGAAAAGAGGTGGTTAGCAGTACATACCATTAAGCAAAGCCGATCAAAGAGAGTCTGTTCTAGTCCTTTATCATGAATGCTCTCAGACCCTTGAATAGTTGGTGGCAGTTGCTTAGGATCTCCAACAAGGACTAGCTTTTCACACTGAAACCTAAATAAGAATGTTATTAAAAAGCCTTTTAAGAAGGTTCTAAAGAATGGATGTTAAACTATTTGTAATGAAACTGCAACTCCCTTCATCGCTCTTCTTTCCAAAGTTAAAATAACACACTAACACAAGAAAAGCATCTAAAAGCATGCCTCAATTTGTAATTACTCTTCTTAAGGTGAGACCTTAGAGTTTGTGTTCTTAAAAAGAATCACAGTTTGGTGATTTGAGGCCGTGTCACTGCTAACTAAAAGTTACTTCTCAGCTGAAATGCAAAAGGATGGTGGTACCTTGCAATAGGGAGGAGAGAAGTAGGTTCAGTCATCTGACTGCACTCATCCAGCACCACTACAGGAAACTGAAGAGTATCCAAGCAAGGGAATGGGCAGGCAGCACAGGTCGCTCCAACCACTTTTACCTTTGTCATTAGGAAAGGAAAAATCGATAGAGAAACATTATGATCATTAAGCAGTCTCTATGCAGTACATGACTGTAACTCCAGCAATGGAATACACTTCAATTAATTTTTAGCTATTCTACTACATGCTATGTTACACTCAGTTTCAAAAAATTAAATTCTAACTGCAGGTAAAAGATGGTGTATGCAAAGAGGAGGTTAAGATTTCTCATGTTTGGTGCGTTTCTATGTTAGAACCATTCACAAATTCCTGGATTTCAAGGCCAGAACAGGTCAGCCACAGAAAGAGTTCAAATTACACAATTTTCCAAAACCTTCTGAGCCCCAGTACCAGAAACAGCAGCACTGATTACTAGGAACAAGCACAAAAAACCCACAATGCTCAAATCTGCTCTATTATAATTGCTCTACAACACCCTCAAATCACTTGAGTCTAGAAATGAGGGAAGAGAAGCAAATAACTGAGGATCAGAAGGTTTTTCCACAGGAAGTGGTAATTTTAAAATGTAATGTTTTGATGAAAAGTTACTTAAAAATATATTTGAAAAAACATTCTTGGCAGCTGATTCTCAGTTGTAGTTTAACTCAATTAATTCCTTACCTTTTACCTTTATGACTATATAAATTTTAGTTTTGAAGTAACAGTGCAGATAAGCAACATTCAGTAATTTTTCTCTCCTTGTAAACTGTGGTGATAATGCTGGAACAGACTGCAGTAAATTCAGAATAGGTTTCTCTCTCATAATTTGTCATTAAATAGGAACTGCAAGTACAACTCAAGTCAGAAGCATGTAAGACATTAAGCTGTACTGGTAGAATCAAAGCTGTCCTATTCTGAACATTCATTTCAAAACTTGAGGTGCTAGGCAGTCTCTCAGAGCCAGAGAGGATTCCCAGTTTCCATTTGCTGGGCCTTGCAGGTAAGGCATATAAAGATTGCTTTCCCATCCCACCCACGACTGTACCTGTTGCAATGCATTTTTATTGGTCCCCAGTTTATGTCGCTCAATACTCTTCCTTACATACATTTTTTCAGCTGGAGCTAAATCTTCTTTCATGAGAGCAAGAAGTTCTTTTAACTGTTCATTTTCATTTCCTGAGCCTGCATGTAAACTTAAAAGATTTCATAACATGCATTAAAATGACCAAAAATAACATTGTTTTCAGTGTTTAGTTAACACACAGTATACAAAAACTAGTGCAACACAAATGTATTTTACAACAATTTATTAATATATACCAGCTGAGATAAACTAGTAAGATACTTGCTTTAAAACAGACCTTTATCCCACCAGCTCAAACCTACTGCCTTAATCAAAGATGTGCAGTAAATGACCCCCCCAGGCTCTTACAGTTGATTTCAGCATGGAGTACAAGAGAAAATTTTCACTCCCATACTTTTTGTACCCTTGGCATTCTGTTTATACCACAGAATGGTAATTTTATCTTTAATTCACCTTGAACTGCACTTAATTCCCTCCATAGTTCTGAAAGTGCAGTGTAGGTCACTGAGTTTTAAATAGTCAAATGACAGACCCCAGGACACTTATGCTGTATGCATTGGAGATGCCTTGTGTAAGAAGTACAGTGTTAACAAGCTGTTACTATTAATTCTCTGAGCATTAAATGTATTGCTTCCTCCTAGTCCTTATCACTACAACAATACATGTATATCCTGAGTCTTTTTTTTTTTGCTTTTCCTCTGTGTAAACTGCCAAATCTCTCACTGTTGTTAATTTGTTCTCTATTGATTTCCATTTAAAAGCATTATTCCTATTCAGTAACAAGCCACGTGCCTAAATCAAGATAAAATTTACTCACTGTGTGGGAGTAGGTGGAGAGAATAAGATAGTCATATTTACAGTCTCATTTTGAATGACTTCAAGATAGTGTGCATGCTGTAAAATAACTATCATGAATCATATAATTGGCTCAGATCCCATAAGGGTTAGCATACTTACCTACGGGGAAGAATTGCTTTGGCAATTTTCCTAATACTTCCCACTCTGATGAAATCCTCAAATCCAAGATCAAGTAGACTTCAAAGAATAAGAGATGATACACGTTAGGAAAAGGTAGGCATTAATTTTGAAAAACACAAGATTTTTTCTGTGAAATGAAGAATATAAACTTCAACAACTTACCAGACCAAAGTAATGTGAACCACAGTCAGATAATCAGAAATCAAACCAAATTACCTCATTGTGATTTGTCTCAAAAAACGCACAGTTCCTTTATGATTCTCAACTTGTACTCAGTGTTTCTCCCTTTATCTTTCCCACAGTCTTAACCTCTAACATTTTCTTCTCTTGGTATTTGGTGAAGCTTCCCAAGCCTGATCTCCCCCCTGCCACTCTTATTTCCTTAAGCTTCCTGAGCATTCCTAATTTCTGTCTTGGGTGGATTCTAATAGTAGATGTGATGATAGTGTGAGATTAGGCTCATATAAAACAGTCCAGCTAGTCTTACATGGTCTCCTAGAATAGGCAGACTGTGCGAAGGAGCAACAGTAAAGTTAAAACCCCAATTGCAGTAATTTATAGGGAAAGAATGCACGTATAATCCAAGGTATTATACTGGAAATACTAGCATAATTACCAGTAACGTTTAAGTGCATTGTTGTCTTTCAAACAACATTTTGTCAAATCTTAATTCACAGTAACCTACCACAGCAGTATCCTGTCAACAGCAACATTAGTGGAAGAAGCAATCAGGAGTTTCCATGGAGCTAGCTCTGGACCCTCCTTAGCTTCACTGCTTTCAAAGAGCTGGACTAGGAACAAGATCACAACAGACAGCAAATAGCTCTTTCCAGCTCCAAAAACACCTGGTATGTTAGAAGAAAAAGCCAAAAGTTCACATGAAGATTTTCTAGAAATGCAGTTTTGATCAACTATTCTAACATAATTTTATCTTGTGATAATATTGCACTGTAATTCCTGTAAAAAACATTGCTTGCACTTGCTTCAGTAGCTGAAAGTATCAAGGGGCAACCAGTTGGCTTACACTTTACTGCACGTGTTGTTTTTATTTATTTGCAAGCATCTCTCCTACTATGGCCTCATGTACCCAATAAAAAAATTGTGGTGATGATGTTTTCTTTCTAATCATTCTAATTAAATTAATGCAGCAATAGCTAAACTACATTTTGGGCAATGGAAATGTAATCCACATGAAGACTGTTATTATTGGCCATGCATATATTTTTGTCAGGATCTAAAAACTTACGATAACTCCATCTCAATGCTGATTTGAAAAAGTTTTTTAAAAAATTGAATTAAGATGTTACTCATGTATGCATGCTGAAAAGAGATAAAACAAGGATATAAGGAAGTATAGAACAAGGAAAAAAATAACGAAAAGTTTATATGATAATTTAGCAAAGCTTATACATGATGACAAGTATTTTAATATGAAAAAATAAGCAGAAGACAATCCTAACTTTATATAGAAATTTTGCTAGGAAAGATCTCTACACATAAGGTAAAATACTGCAAAAGGCAGGATGCAAATTCAAGGATCAAAAGTTCTGTGCTGACAGAACATATGTTATGATTCTAATGTCAAGGCCCTTACCAGAAGGACCTGGTGCAAGGCATGATTTTTTTAAGGAAATGCATGAACAGTAGTGTTATAGAAGTGCTGAAAAGGATATTCCATACAAAGAGGCAGTTGATTCAATGCATCTTTTATAAATACTACCTTTAACAATAAGTCATTGTTTACCCAGACTTAAGGATTTCTTTTTAAGTCTGTGTAGGACTGTAAATATATGAATACAAAGGCAGCTAGTCTAATGTTTTATCACTGAGAGAATTTAGGGATATTTCACTAATGTTGGTGTTACATATCAACTAGCATTTTTGCAAAGAATAAAATAGCAAATGTTACAATTATTTGCTATATACCATGTATGACTGTGATAGGGAAAATCTGATGTTCTTCCACTGATTTCATATTTTCATGTGAGGACATCATCTGAGCTATGTGAATCAGAGATGTAGCTTGATCTGGATTCAGTGAGAACGTTAGGATCATCTTTTCAGCTAGTTGCATTGCCACTTCAGAGCTGACAGAGCTGTACATCTTTTTGCGTGCCACGCTCATGGCAGGTGGAATAAATTTTCTTCTGTTGACTCTCCTAGAAGGCTTTTCAGAATCACGATTCCTAACAAAAATGTAACAAACAAAAGCTGTGTTATAATACTGCATGTGTGTGAATTGCATCTCATTGTTCTGATGTTCTCTCACCTATGTCAAAATGCTGGTGCATTATAATTAACAATTGACATAGAAGGAAGTTGCTGCCCTCTTCATCTTGATGTGCACCTGGACTGTATATTCCTGCCTCTTATTACTTCTCAAGGGAAGTCTGTATCATACTAAACAGGTTTTTGGGCTTTTATCCCACTTGGTGCGAGGTTAGACTTTCCTGTCTTACTCAAGCCTGACAGAATTAAGAGTGGTAGAATCATGTAGTCAGAGGTAGCAGGGGTTCACATTCACTTGTTTTATACTGCGACTCACAAAATCATATAAAGGTTGGAAAAGACCTCTGTGATCATCTAGTCCAACTCTCCACCTACCACCAATATTGCTGTAGAGGAAATGCTAAGTCATGGTCTGAGCCAGTGATTGGCAGGGCCAACCCAGGGGAGCTCAGGTGCATGCAATGAGCCTGAGTGACTGGAAGGGGTGGAGCCAGGATCCACCCCTTCTCAGAGCTCATTTAAGGGTTGGCAGTGAAAGCAGGGGCATCTCTTGCTAAAGATCTCTGCCTACCTGAGGCCTTCTAAAGGTAAGCAGCTCTTTTCCATGGATGCTGCACTTATGCTCGTTCTCATTTGCCGCAGCTGAATTTTGCCACCCTGCTGTTATCGTGGTACTTTTTATCCCATTCTAGTGTTACAATTGCCTACTAAACTATGCTTAAGTACTTAAGTACTACATCTACACATTTTCTTGAACATCTCCAGGGATGGTGACTCCACCACTTCTCTGGAAGTCCACTTTTAATAGAGCAAACTCAATGGCTTTTTTTTCCTGTACTTCTTTACCTATCATTTATTTACACTGGCATTAAACAGTAACTTACATTTTTAGTAGATATGGTATGAGTGGTAATGTAGATGGATTGAAGTATTCTTCCATGTTTCTTAAGGATATAAGCTCACCACTGGCGTTACAAGCTAGCAAGGCATGAACTGATGCTGAAAAAGCCACAGAAAAATAAAATTAAGAAAAAATGAAATAAGCCAAGCTTTCAAATCAGGTAGAGAAATTAATTAGAAAATGCTGAATTAGTCCTGCTGCAATACTTATGGTCACAAATTAAGTCAGGAGCAAAATCTTACTAAGGAAACACGGAACTGTGATTTAACAACATTGAGATTGCAAAGCTATATATTAACTCTTCTAGACACTGTCAGCTTATGAGATCCAGTCCTGCACTTCACATGCAGGGAACAAATGAAACCAAACCTCCAACTGCCTTTGAAGTCTACAATTTCATAGCAAGTATGCCCACAAAAACATGTGCCATTCTATTTATTTTTATGAATGTAACTCAGAATAAGAGTTTAATCTTAATGTAGGCTCACTGGAGTGTTCCTTGCAGGATCTCTGTCTGCTAATTACATAGAAAGCCTAAACAATACTAATTTGTAGGCTTAAAACATTCAATTACCTGATTGAGTAGTATGAATAAAGTCTCTAGTGATCAAGCAAACAATTTTCACACTGCATTCCAGCTCCCGAATGGCATTCTTCATCTCTCTTTCCTTATTTTTTTAATAGTTTTAATAGTTTTGTTCAACAGGAAAAAAAAATACCTTTTGCATCACCTTTGGCTGCAAATTTGTTGTTCTGTTGCCAATCTTTGGCAGACCCAAACTGTTTTTCTGTACTTAAAGCCCTTACCCACTAACCTCACTGTTCACAAAACACTGATATCAAGATATGAAAAAATACCCCAAACAAAAATGTTAAAACCAAAATAGAGAATAGTAGCAACTTATTTGAGAACACTTTGCTAAAAATATCAGTGGTTTATTGAAAACTACCTTGATACTATTATTTTCTGTTTAAAATACAATGATAGTAACGTGAAGTAGAGAGATTTGTTTTTTTTCTTTAATTTTAAAACCTTTTTTTTTTTTTTCCGTTATTCCAGATTGCAGTGAAAAATGAACTGAGAGGAACACTGGGATAGCCAAATCACAGACTTAACACTCTTATTATGTAAGTACAAATGCTGTATAGTGAATTACTTGAGCTTTTTATTTTAGGATGGTAACAACATGTACCTGCCAATACCTACATTCTCACAGCCAAATTGCACTCTCTATATGCCATCTGTATTATCCTCATCTCTTCATAATCCATCCAGAATTTATTACCAATTACTCTGCAGCTTTCAGTGCACTGCATATTGTATTCAAATTACATACTAAAAAAATTACTGTGAATAAAATCATGCACTAGGTTTGAGAAACTCAAATCTCATCCTTCATAGCTAGTCATATTTTTTCCCACAATAGTTGTTTTCCACATTTCTTAATTATTTAGAGTAAAACTTACTATGTGAGTGCCAGTTTGAGGGGTAATAGCCTTTCAGTGGTAGGAGTTCTACTTTATTGTTATGGGTTGGTCCAAAGAAAGCACTACTTGCAATGAAAGTGTCAAGGGGGTCAAAATTCAGAGTCTTCGAAACAACCCAAATATCATCTGTGAAAACAATAGAGTTCTCATCGACTTTCAAAAATCCAATCTCTTTTAAACTAAAGGAAGTCAGATAAATAAGTGAAACATCTTCTAGGCTGTAAATTAAATGACTGCAAAGTGAGGGATATTTAAGTCCTAAACATATGTTAGTTCAGTTCACAAAAAGGAAATAACTTGAATTATCCATTTGTCAGGTACTCCCTGTCTAAAATTCATTGTAGTGGTAAAGTTCTCTCCTTAATGCACTTCTGACAAATCCTAAGTGTTATTAATTCTGATAGTATTCAGAGCAAATCGCTTCAATATACTACAAATCTAGTTATCTACTTAGTTTTCTTCCCTTTCAAAGGCATCAGATTGTGACCTACAAATGTTCAGCTTTGCTAGGCACGTCTGCTGAGACTACTCTAGGCTATACATATTTACCTATAACAAATTTGACTAGCTAATTTTCCATTCAGAAGTTTTCCTTTTGCAGAGTTGCAAAATTTTCAACCAGCAAAAACCTGATCTGTTGGAGTAATCTGGAGTCTGGGATAAAGCATTCAATGCCTAATTTCTTTAGTGACATTCTATAGCAAAATGATCAAACTAGGAAAACATGCATATCAATTGTACAAGTACTGAGGCAATCTGGGTCAACTCACCGAATGCCCTCTGGCTCTGTGACATGTCAGAAAGTTAGACAAAATAGGCAACACCTACTGAAACACCAATTCTTACATCAAGTTTTCCTTCACTGTATTCTACTTGAATATTGGGGCTTTCTTGAAAATTCAGCTATTTACAGATTTCATACAGTCCAAATCTAAAGAATCTAAATTATATCAACATTTACAAAAGAAACTCAAAAGAAACTCAAAAAGGCACAACATGAACGTAAACATAGACTATTATTCTGATGCTTAAATTTTTCTTACCTTTGCTATAGAGAGAATAATGCTCCTTACTGCTTAGCTTGAGGTACAGTTTATTTTTGGAGTCCCCATCAGATTCAGCATGCATGTTCGTAAGTTTCTTGAGCTTACTACACCATCGTGTTCGAATTTCATACCCTTTCCTGTTAAATTGTAATTTCCAGAAAAAGCATGTAATCATTTGGTACATTACAGGTTCATTCCATAGAAATAAGAAGGTGCCACAGATAGGACCAGACTAAGCAGCACAGATTTTGGCTGTTCATCTTAGTAAGGTTTAAATAAGTGTATCTTGACCTCTGACACTCAGCTAAAATCAAATTTCCCCTAAATTTAACAGCATAGAAGAGCCTCAGATATGGCCTCTAACATTACATTTAGAACATGTATGTTACATCCAGACCAGTGTTTTTTTTTTTTTTTTTTTCTGTTTTGAAGATTAACAACCTGGTATCTTGAATATATGTCTGTTTTTAAAAAGCATCACTAGGAACAATAAAACAAAGTCTGTCCCAAATTCCCCTTAAGCAAGATTAAACAGTAATTCAGATGCAACCATCATGAGAATTTTCGCTAAGCAATTGATAAAACTGCTGGTAAGCAGTTTTTCCTCATGGAAAAGAGTACTTACCTGAAATGACACTGTTGTGAATAATAATCCTTTACTTATTTGGCTTTTACACTTCTACACAGAACTGCAAGCTCTTTAAACATAGTCAGTGTGTCTGTTAAATGTTACTTAAATCCAAAGTTAGCAGCATTTTTACAGACCTTGCAGTTCACATAGCACCCATGAAAGATGTACGCCGTATCAGAATACCTCACAAAAAGCTGGCATCCATCAAAGACAAAAATCTTTTGATTTCGGAGGTACGCTCCAATACTTTTTACATCATGAAGCACTACGCTCGGTGTGAATTTTTTTATTTGTGCAGGATTCACTTCTTCCATCCATTTGAAAAATGAACAGCGCTCAGCTCTTGGGGCATCACAGGCATAGAACAGACGGCCCTAGGGAGGCAGGAGAGGGAGATCTTAAACACTTTAAACAAGCAAGTTTAAAAAAAAAAAATAGAGCAATTGAGCAGTACTACTTGCTATATAAATATCAGATAAACATCTGTGTTTTCAGCTTGTATAAAAATGTGAAACACCTCTGTTTCTCAAGCCAGCTTGTATAATTACAGCTTAAAGAAATCCAATATAACCTAACAAATTATTAATTGAAGGCTTTCTCTCACATATATGAAGCTCTTTCTCTATGGAGAAAACCATTACATCAGCAGTTCTGGACAAGAACAGCTACTACCAAAGATCTTAAAAGTGATCACTGTAACACATCACTTTAACTTGTAATTCTAACTCACTGAGAACTGTGCTGGAATTGTTCATGCAACATGGTCTATACTGCAAACATCCCAAACTGCAAACAGACAAGAAATAAACAGCACCTTGTTTTGACCTTCTTTTTTAACCACAAGAACCTTAGCAGGACGCATGTGATCACAGAGTGGAACGCAGCTTTCTTTGCTCTCGCTTTGCTCGTCTTTCAATGAGGTGTAAAATGATATATCCACTTTCGAAAGAGCGTTGTGAAATCTCTGCGACAGCTCAAAAAGCATTATGTTTAAATGTTCTTGGCGTAGACAGGAGAACAGAAGAGCAATTAATATAGCTTTAAAATGTTTACGTGTACACAGCATTTAAACATGCATTTTCGTTTGAAATGTTCAGTTCCATATTTAAATCAAAATAATTAATCTTGGTACTAAAAGAACACGCAGCCTGCAAAACTCACATATCGTACATGAAATAAACTTGTTCTAAGCGCCTTACTTGCGTATAAATGAAGTTTAAATTTGTATCTCCAAATGATGCAAATGCTGAATACCAGTAGCTCAGAAGAAGGTTAGATAGGACTGGTAAACAGGTGCAAGGTTGCATCTTTGAAAAAGAAGTATACTAATCTTTCAGTTTGTCTTTGTAATTTTGAGTATAGACTGAATATATTTGAGTGTATATATATATATGAGTGTATACATATGCATACAGAGATGTGTATAGATCCAAGTTCAGATACAAAGAGTTGTTCCAACAGACAATGCCAATTATATCTTTCCCTTTCAACCTGCTTTTGTGAAGCTTCAGAAATACATGGTGTACAAGTGACAGCATTTTACATAGCATGGTGTTAGACGTACCTGTCAAAGCAGCTTTAAAAACCTGTTTGTAGTGAACGTGAGACTGAAACTCAGTTGGTATGGCAATCTTTCTTTTAGGAAGATTAGCATGTTTTACTTTATCTGCATTAGGAAAAGACAACTCAGAAACTGTTATATCCTAAAAATAAATAAATAAATAGGCTGTTAAAAGCTTGCAAAATCTTGAGGGAGGTAAATTTTCATAAATGTCTACTGTACAGATCTGTCAAAAACAGATTTTTCAGGACCTTGTTCTGCAACCAGAAGTTTCAAGATGAAGAAGTTTTTCAAAAGCAAAATACAAACCTCCTTTAGCACAAACATTTGCAGAACTTGTTACTAGGAGAATGGAAATGTACTTGGAACTGTAGCACAGTGAGTTGGAAGTATCATTTAAGATGCACGGTGAAGTTAAAATTTGTTCCTGGCAGAACAGCTTGTGTTCTTAAGAACACAGGTTTGTTTTGTTGTTTTTATTTTCTCCAATGTTCTCCTTTTTTAAAAAAAAAAGTCTACCAGTCACAAGCAGCTGTGCCTACTGCTAATTCTGTAGGCCCTTATTCAGTGTTGTAACTTGTGTTGCCATTGTTAAAATTATGATACTTGCAGTATCTTAAAATTACTTTGAGGCAGGACGTGAATGTTCACGAAAATAATGCTGATTTCACAATTAAGAATACCTATTGGAAATGTGTTCTTTCCAACAAAATATGAAAAAGCCCATTGTAGTGATTTATCATCTCCTTGCCATCAACATTCAGACTAAAAAAAAAAAAAAAAATCAATCTGGCACCTTGTGGACTGAGGAATTACCTTCATAAAGATTTGGCCACAGTTTAAAAATTCCATTCGCAGCAGAATCTCTTTTGTGCTACTGCATACACAGAAACATCTCATCCTATCATACTGATAATATCTTGCAGGAAATCAGATAAATTAAGTTGCTTTGTCCAAAAAAATGCATTTCTGTTAAATTGTATCTGCTTGAACAGTTACACACCTGGACATCTCCTGTTACAGTGCAGCAGGTCAGATGACTCAACACCTTTTGTGCTGGTTCAGTTAAAGGAGTCTGATTTAAGTGACAAGAAAGTAACTTCCTTTCTGAAATCAAATCTTGGTTGGTGCTATCTGCACAGCATTCACCAAGCATGCTCTTTGCTGTCAGCAGAGGTACAGAGCTGGGAGCGTTGCTGTTCACAGTGCTGCTCTGGCTCTCTCCTGTGTCACCCGGCAGCATTCCAAGGACATTCTCAGCATAGATGTCATTGGTCACGTCCATATCGTTGCTGTTTTGAGTTATCAGGTCACAATGAGCGCTGTTTAGATATTTTAGCCACTTGCTTTGTCTATACTGTGAAGTCACATTTGAGAATACTGGGTGCACAGACTTTCTTTGTCTGCCTTCCGTACACTCCTCCAACACGGAGGTTTCATAATTCCTGTCCTCAGGGCCAGAAGCACTCATGGAAAATGCTGCTGGCTTGCTGCTCAAACTGGCTACTAAAAAGCCATTAGATTGCTGGACCTCCTCACTGTCAGTTAGGAAAAAATTGTTAGGAATCTTCTCAGTGGCAGCAACAGTGACAGGTGGAATTTGTGTTTTAACTGTGGAGTTGCATTCCTCTGGATAGCTGTCTTGTTCCCATGCTGTAGAGCAAATACATCCTGTAAGCAACTTTGTGTACTTGCAGATGGCACATTATCTTTAGAGGCACAAAGAACTGAGATAAAGAAATAATTCCTACTACCTCCTTTTACCACCTATCTTAAAATTGACAGGTTCTTTCTATTGCCCCTGTACCGTGCCATCCATACTACATTTCCACATAAAATAAGATTTCAAATATGATTCTTCTATTATTTTAATTCGTATATTCTGAACACATTTCTGAAAGCACTCTACTTCTCTGCAAGTAAAAGGTAGAAATTATTCAAATCGAGTATCTGCTATGAAAGTTATAAATCTGATATTTTTGGTGGCTCAGTGATGACAGGCCAAATAGTAAACAAACAGCTTAACATCTATTCCTTTTTACAAAAAAGTGCACAAAATTAATGTTAATGTGGATAAAAAGATTTCTAGTACCAAAATCATCACTTTGGCTAAATTTGCTACCAGTAAGAAGTGGCAGTCAGTGATCAGTGTCCATGTAATCACTGAAAGTGGGTTAGCAGGCAGCTGAACATGGATTCAAACTAAAGCAGGCGATTAAGTGAAAACATAAATGTGAATTAAAAGTTTTGCTTACAGCCTTATTTCCCTCTCTGAACGGGAAGGCAATTTTTCTTTATACAGTTGGATCTGTATACTTAAGTTTCTCCCATGGAGAATATATGGGTAGGAATGGGGTGGGAAGTATGGAAAAGGAGGCTTGTTGAGGTGGTTTGGAATAAAAGGGAATGGAATAGAAAATTGTGCTTAGAAATCTGAAATACACATATGGGGGAGAAAAGTGTATCAAACAAAACAAACCCTGTAGTTATACAGACATCAGTGTACTTCAGAACTCAGTTTTTCTTCTTATAGTACAACTCAGTGCTTCAAAAATCATCACAGACTTTGTAGGAAAAACATAAAATACAATTATAAACTATATACTCTTACTGAAAATGTTTTCTGGAAGTTCTGAATCACTTGGTAGGTTCCTGTAAATCAGAGGTTCCTGAATGTCTTGAACGCTTCCTTTTTTTCCTGAAGCTGGAGAAACTGAGGAGTTCAATTGCACTGATGGAATAATCTACAGAATGAAGAATTAGCATTTCAAGTGAATGATTAGAGGAAAAAAGTGAGGGGGAAAAAAAATGAAGAAACCTACCCTTGATGAGAGCTCTTTTATCACTATTCTCCCCCTTATCATTCTAGACAATTGAAATGTCTCAGAGTCAAGATGAAAAAGTAGCAAATTAGACATGAAGTTGCTACCATGAACACAGGAAGCAAAACCAAAAAGCTCTACAACAGAGTCAGGTCACACCTTGCCAGGTTCCCATGAGGTCCACTGTGTTTCTCCCAAATCAGAATGTGATGGTGAGCTTGACACTATCCACTGTGGAACTTCAGAACATGCATTCAGTGCTGGTGCTAGGACATGTAGAAGACAGAAGTCAGGCAGAATAATTGTTCAGATGCCAATGACTGCCATTCTGCGTTCACTTGCACTTACAGGAGTGACTTGCTACTGAGTCTTTAATGTCAAACTTCTTTTGAAAATTCTCCTCTCTGATAAAATTCATATTGTCCTCATGAAGACTTCTTGAATCTGGAGACTGTATCAAAAAAGTATCAGTAAAATCTTGTTAGAAATCATACTTTTTATCCTCCTTATAAATAACATCTTTGTTCAAAGATCTCATTTCTAATTACAAAATGGTAACTAGCCTATCCTGGAATTGGAAAAAAAAAAAAATATCAGTTTTCTTCCAGCAGTTTCAAAACTGAAATACATAGAGCATTAGAAAAACGTGCTTTATTTAACACTGCAACTCATGTTTCTTCTTTGTTCTGAAACTCTCCAAAAACTATACACAAAACTTCAAATGCACCAAAAACATTTGCTACAAAACCTCATCGTCACTCTTCCCTTCAAGGAATCTCTTTTTTTTAATATCACACACGTTATAAATTCTTTAAATGAAATAGATTGAAGAATCATAAAAGCTAAGTTACGTGTTGCAAATACATAACTCTGCAACAATAAGTAAAATTAATTACGCTTAACTGCAGTATTACATTTGGACTAAGGTTAATAAGAATAACTTGGAAAAAAATTGCTTTACCTCTCTGAAGTCAGAAAGAACATAATTGCATGAAAATGGAGGTGACAAAAATCTCTCAGCTGCAAACTCCATATTGTTTGGGTACTGCTGCCATCCTAGCTGTGAGCAGGGAGCTCTCAACATTGTCTCGCTAGACGCTGATCCCTTTATTTGGTGCCCTTGAAACTCAACAGGCTACACAATACACTGGAATTATTAACTGAAAATAAGTACTGTTCAGGAACTATCTACAGCCAACAAAGCACTTTTCAGAGATACAACAAAAATAATCTCTTCAAAACTGCGGGGGAACAACAGACTATGCTTTTGAAGGTATCTGTATCTTGCTGACCCACAATTCAGCAGCAAGAAAGTTTTCTGTACAAATCTCTCAAATCTCACAAAGTTGTGACATTCTGACACAACGTGATCTGAGAAGCTGGCTAAATATTTATTAGAACTTATTGTAATACATTGAAAATACTAAGCTACTGGCTTGAACGTTAACACTGTTCATCACACTTCAGTTTCACAGAGAAACTGTACCTTCCACTGGCAGTCAGGTGTCCTAGGGTCTCTTTGGCCCAGTGCTTTCAGTGGAACACACAGCTCAGTTTTCTGTAATAAATCAACCTTACAGTTAGGCTGCTATAAAAGTATCAAAAGCTAATTAGCTTAACAGTTTAATAACCCTTCAGGGTATAAAAAATTAAGCTAATATATCTGAAGATTTTTCCAAAGACCTCATATACTTATAAAACAGAAGGTGTTGCAAATGAAAAGGGAGAAGCAGAAGAATTTTAGATAGTTTTTTTTTCCTGTTAAGAAGAGATTGAAAGACTATTAACAGCATTTCACAAAAATTAGTGTGAATCATCAAAAATAAACAGATTGATAGTGCATCTCAATGCTAAAACTCGTAGGAAGTTCCATGCATTCTAAAAAGTGATGGAAGGGGAAAAAAAAAAAGATGGTAAATATAGTGGCAAAGTACTTGAGTATCTATAATTACTTGTATTAAACATAACAAGATATTACAGTTTGTACTAAGTACACTTTTAGTCTCTAGAACACTTACTAGAAATAAGGTCTGCAAGATGACCACCTCCTTTCCAAGGAAGCGGTTGAGTCACCATCCCTGGATGTGCTTAAGAACTGTTTGGACGTGGTGCTCAGGGACACAATTGAGCAGTTGGTTGTTAGTTGGGGTAGTATGGTCAGGTTGTGGTTGGACTTGATGGTCTTTAAGGGTCTTTTCCAACCTGAGCAATTTTATGATTCTATGACATGTTTTGTTTACTATCAGTTTCTTAGTTGATCCAGGAAGAGGTTTGGTAAAAAAAAAATATATATGTATTTTGTAGCAACAGATATATGTAATCAAAAACTGGTTACCAAATTGCCAGAAGAATCAACGCATGAAGATGCCTGTATACTTTCTGAGTAAGGCATTTCTGTAAACCGTTTTATAGCTACAAGACATGGAAAAGCATAATAAGATACAGCAGTCACTTATCATAAAACAAAATCTGAATAATTTAATGATCTTGCACCTTTTTCCCATGTAAAGAACTGTACAGTTAACTGAATTAAATACAACAGAGAAACAGATTTGGGGGCCACACCGGTGCCTTAAAGGCTGAACATTGTGAGATGTAGCTTTTGTAACATACTGCTACAAAAGTATGACTTCTGAATGTTAATTGTTCAGCAGGAGAGATGGGAGTGCAGAAGTCAACCAGGAAGTCAGTCATGAAATAGAAACTGATCTAACCTTCGTCTTTGGTAAGTAGTTCAAGTATCTCTTTAGAAGTCTCTGCTTCATGAAACACACTATTATTTTCCTTCATCATTTGTAAGCTGTCTAGTGCTGTGCTACATTGATACAAAGTTCTTAGAAGAGTGATATTGTTTACCAAGTCGGGAAGATCTGATGACTTTTCAGCCTTTGCCATGGATTTCAGGCAATCCATTTCTATTCTTTCACCTTTGCAGGCTCCAAGAGGGACATTCATGCTCTCTAGATTTTCAAACTCTGTTTCATCCATTTCTGCTTCTTCTGAAGCTGAGCGACCTTTCCCTAAAGGACAGATAGCACTTCTGGAAATAAGAGTACTTTCCTTATTCAAAATGCCAGACAGATTTTGATGATCTTCTGTAACATATTGGGATGAGCCACAGCAAGATTCTGAGTTTTGTGACAAAGTCAGCATAGGGCTATCTGGTTTGATGTGATCAATTTTAGTTCCCCAGAAATGTTCTAAATCAAGATCTGGGGATTTTGTGCATTCAAGCTGTGTAACATCTTCTTCAGTCTTTTCCTCTGCTGTAGAAATCATACTACTGGAAGCAGTACATGAAATATTTTCAGTTTTATCAAACATTCCAGTTTTAGGGTGACATTTAACATTTGTGTCACCAGGAAAAAGATCAAAGTGCTTGCTTTTTATTCCTGATGTGCCATTAATGGTAAGTGCTGCACAGCCACCAAGATCCTTTTTATTGTTCACAGCTTCAGTACTTCCTAGGCTTCCATTAATCTCTTTTAAGTTGTTTCTGTCATCCAAAAGTTCCACTTCAATCTTGGTCTGGTTTGAAGAGTCTTCCATAATTCTCTCTGTATCTGTAACATTGTTACAGAACTGTAATGGCATTTGCACAGTGCAGTGATTGCCATCTTTTTCTACATCATATGTTGAACACTTGATTTCTTCCTTTTTGCAGTGTGTCATCACTTCGAAGCAAGAATTAAATCTCAATGCAGTATTTTGTGCCCTATCTTCTCCCTCTAAGCAATCTGCACTTTCTGAAAGCATGTCTTCTTCACTGAGCTCTTTCTTATTTCTTTCACAGTGCTCTCCATTGTCCATATCACGAAAATCAAAAGCTCCCAGCAGGTCAAAATTAACTTCCATCACCTGTTTATCTGGACTACAGTCTCCGTCACATGTACTTAATTCCTGCTTTGCAATTCCATTTTCAGTCACTGTTACATCCTCAGAGAGCTCTAAGTCACTAGGCATTCTTTCTGAGTTTTGTTTCAGCTGAAGGTCACTTTGAGATTTGATTGATGAATTATCCTGAAGACCATTAATTGCCAAATGCTCTCTGTATCTGGAGAGAGGTTTTTCAAAGGTGACTGGACTTGCTGAACAAGAAGAGACAAATAGGCTGTCGCTCACTCTGTTTATGGTTGATTCAGATAGTACAGAACTGTTTGTCCTGCAGGAATCTTGTAAGTCTTGGCCAAAACTATTAGCCTTTTTGTTCTGTCTTTGCCCTGTGATTTCTTTATCACAAGGTTCAGATGAATTAATAAGCAAACGTTCCTTCTTATCATTTACCATTTCCTTTGTAAAAGGCAAGTGCTGAATATTTTGAGCAATCTTTTTGTCAGAGTTAACAGAAAAGGCAGGCAGGGTTATGCTTTTTAGGTTATACAAACTATTTATGTTTTCCAGTGCTTGAAATCTATGACATTCTGTGACTTCAGATGTTGCTTGCTCTCCACAGACCTGTGGTTTAGATTTCAAAAGGGCTATGATCTGTGCTGTGCTCCTGATGTTCTGTGACACTGCCCCATGACCAGTTGTCCAACTACTAGACTTGGTGTGCCCACTAAGTAGAGGAGACTCTGGCTTTACCATGGACTGATCAGAATTTTTCTTCTCTATTTCATTACATGTATGAAGAAATGGAAGTGAAACCGCTGAGGAGGGAGTCACACGATCTCTATTATCTGTACCTCCATCTTCATGCAAGTCTGCAGATAAGCTTGTTTCTGCATTCTTCTTGTAAATAGTAGAAAATAAGGGAGAGGTAATATAAAACCTGGATGGAAAAGGATCCTGACTCTGCTCAGATATAGGTGATACTGCCATTCTTTCTCCGTCTTCTGCTGTCGATACTTTCTTTTCAACCTGACGTGGCCCTTGGAAACCCTACGAGAGGAACTTAAAGTTACTTCTACTCAGAAAACAACTTCACATTTCATAAGCAAAAGATGAAAATTTAGCACATTCTATAAGATATATTCACAGAATCATAGGAGTTGGGAGGGACCTCTGGAGATCATCTAATCCAATCCCTTGCTAAAGCAGGTTCCCTACAGGAGATTGCATAGGAAAGCATCCAGGTGAGTCTTGAATTGAGTCTCTCCAGAGAAGATTCCATACCCTCTCTGAGCGGCCTGTTTCGTGCTGTCACCCTCGCAATAAAGAAGTTTTTCCTGAGGCTCAGAGGGAACTGCCTGTTTTGCAGTTTGTGCCCATTGCCCCTTGTTCTGTGTCTGGGCACCACCAAAAAGAGCCTGGCCCCATCCACTTGGCTCGTGCCCTTTAAATATTTATAAGCATTGATAACATCCTGTTGTGGTTTTGTGATTTTTGTTGTCGGTATTCCAATTCAGAACATAATGTAAAACAGTGGGAGTTAAAGAGTTAATGTTCTGGTTCTATGGACTGCCTTTGTTGGGCATTTTGGGTTCTCAGAGGGGAGGAGCAGCATTCCCAGAGGACCTGGGCAGAAGAAGAAAGGTGGAGCTCCTGGCAGGACATCAGCCATCATCCTTCTTTCTGACTCGCTCTCTCTCGGTTTGCCCTGGAGAAAAGCACGTGCTTCCCCTGTAGTCCCCTAGCTAAGATCTCGCAGTTTGGACACTTTTCTCTCTGTGTTTGTTGAATTTAGTAAATTACTGTTCCCCCTCAGATTGTTGCTGTTGTTTTCCTTTTAGACACATCTGCCCTCCGTCTTCCCTCCTCCGGGAGCACACAGCCAGCAAAGTGCTTTGCCTCATTTTGGTCCAGGGCCGGCCACTGCTGTGCGGAAAGGGGTGGGCTGATTTTTTTTTTTTTTATTTTAAACCCCCCCCCCCCCCTTTGTCTCCTTCTGGGCTTGTGCCTCTGTCATGGACTGTTATTTAGAGACAAGTCTGTGACAGATTCCCCTCTCAATCTTCTCCAACTCCAAACTGTCTTGGTTGACTCAGATAAAGTAGCACATGTATAACAATTCCACAAGCATATAAAAATAATCACAATCCTTGCAGTTTTCACAGCAGCTTTAGTAATAGTAATTCCACTAAGCTAAACAAAGATTTAAAGAGCCTTGGAAAAAATTGCTACTGGTGACATGACTTGACTTATAGTTCCAAAAAAAGGTAGGAAGATATTATCTATATATTTACTATTCCATTTAAAAGTGCCTTTTGTGTTTTAAAATGTATGCTAATGTCAGACAGATTTTGAAACAGACATACTGTAAACTTCCTCTTTAAGCCAACAGACAGATGTCTTGGAGGCAGAACTGCAGGCTTTAAACCACGTCTATTCACATCTACTATTTCAGGTTTCCTTGGTTGATCTCCACAAGATTTTTCCTTCATTTTTGCTTCTTCAACCATGATCAGATATCGTTCACTTTCTAAATTATCTCCAGAATTCACCTAGGAAAAGAGAATGCAATAGTGTGTATGTAATAGTGCTATTTAGGAAAATACAGATCTTCTAAATATTGTATTTACTCAAATGTAAATTTTTTAGAACTGTAACATTTTATACCCAACACATCACAACCACTGTATATATAGTTAGATTAATTAATAATGGAGAACGTTAGCACCTCGTTATGTTCATTTAATACATTACTATGATATACTGCTTTTACCCAACCCATGTAATTCCATGAATCCTCTACATTTGTTCTGGAAAACCAACAGTAAGTTCTATCAGCAATTGAAAGCATTTTTAGTTTTCCATTATTTGCACTACAACTGTCAGAATGCTGGGAAAAAAACCACCTTAATCGCCAAACAAACAGGAATTTGAAATGCAAACCACAGTAAAAAGCATAAATACCAAGCTCCAAATAAAATATACCTGGGATTTTACAAACATACTCTCCAAATATTGCCCTTTATCATCAAGCAAGATTGCCTGCAAGGAAAAATAAATGGAATTAAAAAAATCAATTTTACTTCACAGGTCGACTAAATGGCCACTGACTGTCTAGCAAATGATATTAAATCTAAAGATGCTCACCCTATTTTCTCCAGGTCTAATCCTCAGAATTCCATCTTGCCATGTTTTTGATTTTTTCATTTTTTGGTGAGTGTATAACACCTGATGTAAAAGGGTGAGATGTTTGAACAGTCATAAATTAAAAAAAAAAAAAAGTTTAAATAACACAGCAATGTCATTTGATTGATTTTTCCTTATGACATAGTGTTAAAAAACTTACAGTAAATTCTTGAGAAGCCATTGCTTCGGCAGAATGGTCCTTCAACGGCTTATTTCACAAATGCTTCATACAACCTGAGGGACAGGGAAAGGCTCAGAATGAACCGGTGTTTAATAAAGCCAGAAACCGCTAACAGAAGAACGTTGTCACCGGTTCACCAGCTCCCACACTGCGAACCGGCCATGCGTGCGGGACTGAGGTGGCTGACGGTGACAGCACAGCTACAACCGCCCTGAGGGGATCGGCAGCGCTCCCTCAGCTATACAAGCACGGGAGGAGCGGGACGCGCAGCAATGCAACGCGGAGAGGCCCACGCAAACGCGTTACGCACCCCCGGGGCGCTGCGGCGCTGCTCCCCCGCCACCCACTCAGGGCCCGAAGCCCCCCACAGCCGCCGCGCACCTGAGGCAGCTGCCGCCGTCCCGCCGCGCTCCGAACTTCCCGCCACAGCGTCTGACGTCACCACGCCCCGACGGCGCCGAGGAAAGCCCCCCACCTCCCGCCCGCCGAGAGGAAATCACGTGCACCACGCGAGGCGCGGCCGCTCCCACTTCGCGCATGCGCGCGTCGCTCCGCGGGGCTTTTCTCTCCGCGGGGGCCGAGTGTCGCGCCCGCAGTGACGGTTGAGAAACGGGAGAGGGAGAAGAAGGCGGCTGCGAGAGGCGGGGGGTGCGGCCCAGCATCCCCGCGGCGACGCCGCCCCGCGGCAGGTCAGTAACGCGCGGCGGGGGTGACGGTTGGGGGGCGGTTGCAACGGCGCAAAAAGGGGGCGATGCCGCCGCTGCGCGCATGCGCGGGACGCAGCTCGCGGGGCGGGGCGGCGACGCGCCGTTGGGTGTGGGACAGCGGGGCGGCAGTTGTGGTCGTCAGCGCGGCGCCGGGCTGAGGCGTTCCGCCCGTCCTTAGAGCCGCGATCGGCCCGCACAACCCGTGTTCCCCGGGAATAGGTAGCTGGCTGGTCCCGCTGGCAACCGTTAAGTCATAGAGAGGAAAGTCTGCTTCTTTCCTTTGTTTGAAACGGGAGAAAGAAAGGAGGCGAGGCTCTGCGGTGCCTCCGGGGCAGTCTGTCAGCAGCTGCTAACGGGGCATCGGCGCGACTTCCTCTGCGTGTGCCCGTACCCTGCCTGCTGCTCCGCTCCTGCTCTGCCTCCGTAAATAAACCAGTGCTCACGTTCAGGAGAAACTCGCCGTAATATAGCTGCTGCTCGGGTGCAAGAGCTGCCCTGGCTCGGCGGAGAACGAGGCGCAAGGAAGGAGTGTGTACCAAGTGGGAGAAGAGCTGGCGCTGCCCGGCTCTGGTAGCTGTGAGGGACGGGCTGAGCGCGGCAGGACCGCCGTGTGCGCTGCTCCCAGGCGCAGCCCACGCCGTGTTTTGTGACAGGTGGCAAACAGCTCTGCTGTCACTTTAAAAGCTCGTACTGGTTTCATTCCCTGGACTGGTGAAAAAGCTGGAGGATCTGTTGATTATAGATTATGAAGCAAGCTGTGCAGGTCCTTGTGTGACATCTTCCGACCTTTGTCATTTTCTGTAGGTTGAAATTACAGGGTAGGAAGTGAATTCAGAGAGGTGTAGCAAGGAATGCCCGGGGCGGTCTGCAGAGTACATCTCTGAAAGCAGTTAGAGGTATGCTGGATGTTTGCATTTATTTTGTCCAGAAGAGGAATTATTATGGCTTAGTATGGAAGCATTCACAGTATAAAGCAGGTTTTGTATGGTCCGACCTCTCCTCTTGATGCTTAAAGGCCCACAATAAACAAGCAAGCTTGATATCGGTGCTTGATATCACAGAAGCAGATGTTTTACAACTGGACCCCTGTTCCTTTCACTTTGTATGACAGATGTTGTCACGTTTCTCTAGGTATCTTTGTAACAGAAGTTAAATTTGAAATTTGTTTCTGTGCAATTTACTGCTAGTGTAATTCGATATTTCCCTTCTAAAAGGATGTAAGTATATCATCACAGATCTGTGTGAAGCCGTTTATCTAGCTTTTTTTTTCCCTCTGATGAGTTATTCTTTTCTTGGTTCCTTTCTTCCATATGCAGACACTGATAATTTAATTTCAGTTAAGGAAAACTGACAGCTGTAGCTGTATTGTTTTTATAGACTGAAATCTCGACTTCAGCTTTTGCTCTCTTCTGATTTGCATTGTTTTGTGGGAACAGTACTTGCAGTTGTGAGGCTGGCAGCGCAAGAGCTGGCAAGGCAACAAAAGCCTGGACTGCCTTAAACCTTGACATTGCAGCGTTCTGCGTTGAGATCTGCAAGATTAATTGCAAGCTGAAAGAATACCGCTGAAAAAGCAAGTTTCATGAGTTAGTGATATGTTTTCCTATCAGCAGAGTTTTCTTAAATGCTGAGTTTAATCTCAGTGAACTCTTAGGTGTATTTCACTACTGAAAGTAAGATTGTATACAGATTCCAGTAATAGATTCATAGCTGACATTTGCTCTGGCTCAAGGCTCCCCAGAGCCATGTTTGCAAAGCTTTATTCCTAAAGCAGCACCTAAAAGTGGGTATGGGGGTGGAGGAGGAGCAAAACAGAGCAGGATACAGCTTGTAGCTGTTTGTGTTTCCCAAATGACTCAAAACCTATGAAATGCTTTAGATAGCTTCTTAAAATATAGCTCTGCTGTACATAAGCCGTATTTGTTATGTGTTAGTGGGGTCATAAAATGCTGTTCAACTAAAGAAAATATCCTGTAATGGTGTAACTCGCTGTAGCTTTCAGCGAAGTGGTATGCAGTGCTGATAATTAATTCAAGTTGCTGAAGGGCTCGAATGTAGCTCGACCTTCAGTTGGGAGTTCTACCTGGCTTATCTTTTCAAGGTAATTGCTCTTTCACTGTCTTGAGTGGTTAGCTCACAGCAGGGAGCGAAACTGACATCCGGCTAAGGAGGTGCGATTTGCACAGTAATTTGAAGACCATCTCCATTGTTGTTATCCTGCTGCAGATGTCAGCTTCCTCTCTGATGGCTGTACTTTTGTTTCCTTATGTTGTGTACAGAGAGCTGAAAAGTCTTTCAAATGATGATTTCCTTATTAATTGCTTTATTTTTTGTGTTAATTTTGTTTTTAAAAGCTGTCTGCTTTTGCCGGTATTGCTTTGCTTTGGCTTGACTAAAGTACTCTTGACTGGCATTTTAGGATGACTGCATACCTCCAGCGAACAGAAACATGAGACAAAAAAGGTGAATTGATCTATGTAGAAGTTTTGATATTTTTTTCCAAGTAAAGCTGTAACTTCAAGTCACCTTGCTACGGTTTAGTCCGTTATTGTAGGGACTGGGGTAAGAAGTTCCAACAGAACTTGATTTGCCATTAAAATCAGTGACTCTTAGTGAAAGATCTCTAACCAAAGAAAGATGTTTAAGCGTAGCTCTTACTGAATGGCACCTGGACTTACAAGAAGGGTGGGAATTGTATTTCGTATTAAAGGTTAATAGTTGCTTTTTATTTGGAGATTTTACTGTATGTTCTTGCAGTGAGCCCATCTGCAGCTGTGTGTTAATGTCACCTGCTTGCAAACACTGGGTTTACAATATATGCCTGCTGAGTGTCGTCCTTGGGGCCAGCCTGTTTAGAAGTTGCGTAGATAACCTAGCTTTTTTTTTTTTTTTATCCTACTTTGTCTTCTACATAAAAGGGTAGTTTCTGAGTTGTAGTTCTTTGTATTGTTTTTTCATTTTTTGGGGGGGGGGGAGGAGTCTTTCTCATGGTTTGTACAGGGACACTTGGGAAGGTGTAAAGATCAAGTGATTTCTGTCCTTTTTCAGCTCTAAGAAAATGTATTTATTGAGGGGACAAGGATCTACTTTTAGATGGATTTTGTAAACTTCCTTTAACAGGTTGTTTCCTTCTCTGCTAATGAGGAATTTGCCTTATTGAAGGACATTTAATTATCTCCACAGGTACTTCAAATAATTCAGTAACATATTTGTTAATAGCCTTGCTTTTCTGACAGTGAATAAAAACTGTAGATGTCATGACTTGCTGAAATTCAAAAGCTTTCTTTAGTAATCTAATGGGAAGAGCAGTCTGCTCGTGAAGCATTCTGGATTAACAAAATAGAACACATTTTCAATGGGAAGACTGGTTTGGCAGCCTGCAGTGAGTTGCTGTGGCTAGAAGGCATTGCAGGGAGCTGTGAGACTTGGGTTTCAGCTTAGTCTTCACCACGCAGTTATTCTGTGACCTGAAGTTTCTCACCTTCTCTGTACTTGGTATTTTTCTACACTACACAGTATTGAATGACACATGTTATTATAGGGAATGCATAAAGCTAAGCTCCTTAACATGTGATAAAATTTCTGAAAATTACTGTGTGGAGGTGCAGTGTTTGTTCCATGCTGTAACATTACTTTGATTTTTCAAAGGTTATATTTAACTTTTGATTGACAGAATGACGGGAATGGAGACTGAAGCTGCAAGAGACAAAGCCATGGAAGAGGAAAGCACTGAGCAGAAGAAAGAGAGGGAGAAAAAGAAGAGGTCGAGGGTTAAACAGGTGCTTGCAGATATAGCTAAACAGGTGGATTTCTGGTTTGGCGATGTTAATCTCCACAAAGATAGATTTCTTCGAGAACAAATAGAAAAGTCCAGAGATGGATGTAAGTTTGTATTAATTGCATGTCAGTAAACAGATGTGATTTTGATTTTCTTCTTTGCTATATTGCAGGTGATGTTACAATTTTTAGGTTCATGTCTGCTTGTCTGGAAGAAAGCAGTTGTGTACTGAAGTCAGGATTAGGCTTTGTTAATAGTTTTTTTCATGTACCTTTTCTGCTTTCCTTTACCACCAGCTGTAGAAGTAAGTCAGAAGCATCTGCAACAGATGTAGTGATTGTTTGAGAGATCTGAATTGTTTTTTTATTTTTAAGTTATTTTTAGTATAATTAATAGCATGAGCAAACAAACAAGGGTCATTATTTCCCTTAGATGTACGGTACCTGAATTGTAGGGTAGATGTATGCCACTTTTTCAGTTTGATATACTTTGTTCCTCTTTTCTTGGATAAGTTTGATATGTGAGTGATTGTGCATTTGCTTTTGTAGGGCTTTTAGGGGTCTCTTTTCTGCTGGCAATTTTTGACAAGGTTCATTTGACTTCAGATTAGGAGATGGAGCTTGATTTTGGAACTACTTGACACATTCTGAAGCAGAAGTTAATTTACACGTTAGCTGCAAGTATTTGCTTTTTGTTTTAAGAATAGTAAATTTGTGATTAAGATCTGTATTGAGCATATTTGCTCAATTGTGTTACTCCAGATGGATGGTGACATCAGTTGTGCTATATCTATAGAGAGAGGCAGTGCTTTTCCAGCAAAAGAAATAATGTATTTCAGACTCCCTAAGTGTTCTTACTTTGCTTTCTTAAGGACTCCATACTTGCTTGGAGTATAAATTGTTAGGCCGTCTGTGTTGTGTGAGAAGTCTAATCTTCTTATCACTTGTTGGAATTCTCAATTGCAT